ATGAAACCATGGAGCCACAAAGGACCTTTACCAGCACAGCCCCCACACTATCACACCTTAAAACCCCACCCTCCCCTTTCTGCCCCTAGCTAGCCGCCACCCATGACACCCTTCCTCACTTCACAACAGTTCTTGTTTTCTCCAGCTCGGCTCATCACCACACTCACACACAGCGCTACCACCAGTCTGAAGTACTTCGCGGGTGAAGAAGATTTATCTGCACTTGGTTCATCCCTAGGTCTTGATGCCCGAAACCTCTTCCCTCCCACTCCTAAAAACAAGTTTTCATTTTGTTATGACCAGTTTTTTACCTCAGCAGAGCTGCTCTCCAGCCAGGCTTGCACAGCCCTCTCTGAAGATGGATGAAAGCATACCCCGGGGAAAAAAAAACCCTCCAAACAGATCACAGCAGTACCCACCTGCTCTTCATCAGGAGACCCTGAAACACAGCAGTGATGACCTTGCAGCAAGATGGGTAGACACATACCTGCGACATGCTTCTGGAAGCACAGACACATTTACACAGATGCCACCAACTGTGGGGGCATCAGACAGGTGCATAATTAAACTCTGCTGTGCTTCTCTCAGGTCAAGGCCTAGTGCTTTGCTTTCCTAAAACCATTTGTTTTCTATCCAAACATAAGCAAAAAGGCGTCATTTGAACCATGAAACACCCAGAGCTTTTCTCCTCAAGCAAGGATTTAGGGATAGTAATGGCTTGTTTATATAGAGATGCTTGGTGCCCAGGATTGCTTCCCAAGAGCTCAGAACACATGCATTACAGGACATTGCTCCTCACATCCCTCTGTTCCAGGTGACTATGCTAGTATTTAGGGGATTTTGTTCTTGTTTTGATTGCACTTAATGACATCTCAAAGCAGATCAACATCACAGGGATAAAACTCCATGTCCTCAGCTGCTGGGAACTTCCCACAGGGACTAAAATGGGAAGCAGTTTGGCAGCTAGAAGACAATGCTGGTTCTCCTCTCATTTGCAGTGATAGGAAGGAGCATGGTTACACCAGAGCAGGACTTGGACCTGCACTAAGGGAACCTGTATTCAGGTGGTAACTGCTTCCTGTGTGCAGCACTGATGGTGAATTATCTTTGCACTCCTGCAGAGCAATAGTTTTTCCTATCTGCACCCAAATGCAGGCAAAACCAGATGCCAAAAGTTCACCTGCACAGTGTATTTCAAGTGACTCTGTCTTGATGATGCTGAAGTGGATACACGCCAAAACGACAAATATTTGGGAGAGTGAACACAGGCTGAACTAAGCAGGGCAGCAGCACACAGCTTGTGTCATCAGTTACAACTATAGTGCAAAGCTTTGAGGAGGACAAATGCCCCAAGTTTAAATGGGAGCCAAAAGAAGAAACATTGCTCTAAGTTCAAACAAAGGTCCTTTATACCACCCACCAAGTTCTTGGAATGTCCCAGGGCCACCCATTCAGCAGCATTCCCCTTTTCGTTTGGGGTGCAAGTTCCAGTTTAACCATAACAACTGGAACCAAGGACTAGGCAAGAGCTCCCTTCGCACAATTGCTCTCCTGCCAGCACTGCACTCCAGGCTGATACAAGGCAGACCCCCAGGCCAAGTGAGCCCTGCTCAGAGGCCAGCCCTTCAGACCTGGCCCCAAACTAGCATGACACAACCTATTCGTGTGAAGCACATGGAAGTGGCAAACAAGTTCAATTCATTAGCAGTTTCCCCAGCCAGTGCTGTATTTTAATCAGAAACATTCTGGGGCTGGACTAAACATCTTCACGTATTTCAGACCAGCACTTCATCTTTGAAATGCTGCAGCAGCTTCTACAAGAAAGTAACTCCATGCCTAAGGCAGGGAAGAAATAAAGGCACCTAGCTAGAAGCTGATGGAAGGAAAGGCAAGCTTCAACATTGCGTTTATGTTTCTATGGCATAGAACATCCACAAGGGTTGAGTGGAATACAATTAATCTTTGAACTGTGGGGCTCATGTTGAGCATGCCCTCAAGTTCAAGGATTAAATCTGAGGGTCACTAGTTGTGTATTTAAACCACTCATGTAAACACAGCACTCGCCTCAGACCAGCTTGTTTGCATAGGTAAGATTAGTGTTACTTGGCAAATCACAGGAACAACTTCTCTCCATGTATCTGAGATAGGGGTGTTCCAGGGCATATGCTTCATATCATCTGGTTTTAGTGGAAAATTTAATCCCATTAAGTACACAATTTGAATTACTGAATGGCATGGTCAGATTTCTACACCCAGGACACAGCCTTGGTACCACACAAGTTCAGAATTGCACTCAGAAATGCCATTTCCACTAGGTTTTCCTCCAGCAGCACTGCAAGCTGTAGCACACAGCCATCAGTGTGTGGCAAGGTATGACCAACTACTCAAAGAGAATTTACCTCTAGAGCCAAAACAGCCAAAGCAGACAACCCCAGATAGTTCAGGTATGACCCTATCTGCACACAGCATGGCAAGACTTACCTTCATGCTTGTTGCTCAGGACAGAGTAAGAGCACATACAGGGAACACACACAGGTACTGCATTAGTACTAAGATCAGCTATGAATAGCCTCTGCTCTCCATGACTCCATGCTCTGTAAAGTTAGGTAAGGGGTTAGGCAGATTACAGATAAGTATAGATATAAATACACATTTTTCAGGACCAAGTAAGCTAGAGCACCACTTTAATGCAGCCTTTCACCCAGCAATAGGTAACTGTAGGAAGATGGAAGGCAATGATGCTGCCCCTCACTCTAAGTTGATTTAGGTTTACAATTCCACAGGACATGCTCTGAGGTCAGCCACAGGCATGGAACAAGTCTCTCCAGGTTCACAGAACAGCCTCAACTGATAGACACGAGCGTTCAGATGTTTGCATTAGTCTTGCAAGTCAAGCACACCTCAAACCTAAAACACAAGCACTAGCTATTATCTGTAAGGTTGACCATCCCAACCTGTTTTGGCAGTAAGAACAAGTCAGTATGTTTGGAAAGCATTTTCAAACTTTATTTACAACTGTCACAGTGACAAAAATGTAGTTTGAAAAAAATGCTAGCTTCTCCCTGAGGCTCAAAAAAGAATTACAGAAATATAGAATGTATATCATACAACAGGAGGAGTTTTACTGGAGTGCTTTGTTCTTTAGATACGTTCAACAACAAATAGAAATATACACAATACTTCCAAAAAAAGGATGCAGACAGAAATACACAAGTCTTTAGGGCAGACAGCAGGTCTGAAGTCCAAGGATTGCCGTCTCATTGCTGCCCACATGGTAATATCTTTGATATACAGCTTTGACTTGGTGGTACAGACAGAGACCAATAGAGAGTAACACTTAGGAATAAGATGACTGGCTGGTATGCAGGTGTACAAGCTCATTCCAGTAAGACAGCAAGACTAAAACAAGTGTTACAGATACAACAGCTGAATCCATCACTAGAGAAAATAGTATCACCACATCATGACCTTTTGGTGATCCACTGTCCACCAAGACGGGCAGGGAGCGTGTATAACCGGGTCTGCGTTGCTGGACCGGAGATGAGCCAGTGTAGGAACACTGAATTTCTCCCGCTTTGTGCTAACTCATCTCCAAAATCCTGTCTCAAACAGTTAATGCAGAGCTGATAAATTATTGCCATTATGTTTAAACACAAGCAAGACAAGACTAAAACAATCCTGCCAACATGTTAAAAGCAGTTCCCAACCCCCACCAGCGTTTAACTACTCATGAGGTATTAAAAATACAAATACACACATGTCCAAATAGATTTTAAAAATGGAACCAGTTGTAAGCAAAGGGTGTGGCATTGGGATTATTATGAAAGTTTGGTTAAGGCCTTGACATTTCTTTCTCTCTTCCATGACCCCAGATTTGGTTTAGGTGGTAACTGTTCTCATCCTATCCCAAGACCGACTGGCTCCCAAGCTGGTCTCCAAAGCTGCAAGATCACTTTTCAGGAAAGCAGTGGCTTACACTGTCTAGCAGCAGGCTGGCCTCCCCCCAAATGGAGACAGATGACTTCTCCTTGAAGTAGGATATGGTGAAGAGGACACAACCACACACTTTGCAAGCCAGTCTGCACTTCACTGAACACCCATGCATGTTTCACCCTTGCTATGAAGCAGATGTATCTTGTTTCAGGACACCTGGACTAATCTTCTCCCAGCAGACACCCCTTTCCCACTGGTGATCCACACTAGATCTGGTGTTTCGTTTTCAGATTACCTCCAGGTCTGGCAGCACTCCCCACCATGCACATCCCTACCAGCCTGTCCTGCACTGAGGAGGCCCTGCAGTGCAAAGATAGAGTAGATTCACAACCCCAGCCCTCTCAAGCCTGTTGACCAGCAAGTTGGAGACATGAAACCCTACAGCTTCAAGGACACCAAGGTAAGGAGGCATAACCTCCACCCTCTAGCTTTGGGCACTGCACAAGACAAGACCAACCACAGCAGCCTCAGCAAACAGGAGAGAAAAATACGAGATGTTCAAAACTACATGAGCTCTTGCTGCAGACAGAAGCATCTTTTACGTCTGATGCACATTACCCCATGCTAACCACCTGCAAGATAAACTAGGGCCTCGCAGAAGAGATGACAAGCAGCAGCCTAACATTATCCTGCAAATACAGCTGTTCAGCATTGAAGAATCTAAAGGCAAACAGAGGGGGAGAAAACAGCTTTGGGAAAGTGGCTGGAAAACAGGCTCAACAGCGAGAGCAAGAAACCCAACTACTCCTATGGATGCTCACGTTACCCTGGGAGGTGCCAAACTGGGGAGAGCTACAGGCCCCTCGTCAACAGAGCATTTAGCCATGCTTCACTACAGACACCCTTCCACCCCCTGACACACAAAATGGAAGCTGTAAGAAAGGCAAATCTGAGAGATTACAGCTCTGTTCTCACTCTTTTGCTTGGAGGCAGCTCCCAGCCAAATGCTGCCACCTCTGACTTTCCTCCCCCTCCCCGAGCTCCCCCCTCCAGCAGTCCTCGTGTGGTCACCCTCTGCCATGTGCTTGGAATTTCACTGCTACCTCCGCCTCGGAAAAATACAGATAATGATCTCGAGAACAGCAAACATTTCTCTGCGTTACTTCCTTCCTTCCTCAGGAGGTCTGGTGACACCGAGGGCTTCAGTTCTTGATACAGAGAATACAAGAAAACTAAGATCTCGCAGGTGCAAAATTGAACTTGTCTTTTTTTTAAAAAGACTTTCAAAAGAAGTGTGGCTTTTCCTTCAGAAGGGTGCGGTCCCTTGCCTTTCCTCAGATGCCATTTATTGCTCCTTGTTGTCCTTCTTTGCATCTTCACAGTTTTCTTCCTCCTCTTCCTCCTCCTCCTCCTGCACAAGGAACTCTTCAGGTGGCCATCTCAGCTCACCGCTCTCCACATCACCCTCTGTTGGCTCCACCACAATTGAGGGCAGGCGGTCCTTCAGCTTACAGTAACGGTCAAAGTCTGAGGGATCAGGGAAGATCTGAAAGAGCCAAGAAACAGTCTGTGAGAGGGGTTGCGTTCAAGCAGTCTTAGCCAAAACCCAACTCAAGACACTTGGGACTTCAGGGCAGACTAGTCTGGACACAGAGTAAACCACTAAGTGATGGGAAGACTTTGAACTTGTAAATAAGGTTCTCTAATCTCTAACTATTGGAAATGCGCTCTGCCCAAGAGGCTTCCAAAGCACAGGCTTGCTTGGATAGCACTCAGCAAATAGGCATCTGCCCTTTTGGATATTTTTCCAAACGCCTCACCCCCACCACCACCACTTGTGCATTAATGCTCATGAGTTTGCAACACTGAGCTATCTTGCTCAGAGAATCTGAGATCTCATTTCCTGCTGCTGGTCACACTGCACATGAGAACAGGCTTGTGCTCCAGGCTCTCCTGCTAGAAGGGAGAGGAGGCACATGGCAATCCAGTGCTAGAGCAGTCCAGACCCTCGCAGCGAGGGCCTGCATCTGGTATCACTCCAGGGCCACAGCACCAAGCTGAAAGAGAAGTTCAGCTGCATTTTAGAGATAATTTTGATAGTGTTCTGCATGCTACAGCTACCATACATCAGCAGTGAAACCCAGACTCATTTTATGGAAGGGTTGGAGACTGGATTACACTTCAAGGCAGGAGGTATCTGTGGCCTAGCCAGCAATTATGCACCATATTCCTCATGCAAGGAACATGAGGATCCCTTATCTCCAGCCCTGCAAGGTGCACAGAGAAGTACCTTACTCCTTCCCTCCCACAGCTTTTACCATGTGGATGCACAAGGTCACACATCACAAGTACCTGGGCCTGTACTCACTGACAGTGCCACTGGGACACACTTTGATCCTACTAGGAACTGAGGCAAAGACATGGCTACAGAAAAAAACTGCCCCTACATTGCAGTGTTAGCAGCAGCTCTGCATGACTAAATCGCAATGTGAACAGAAAAGGTTGCTGGTACTTATAGGTATGTCCTACTAGGGAACAGCTTCAAACCCCAGCTCATCCAGAAAGAAGTGCTGGGTGACAAGAACCAGTTGCCACATCAGATCCTCTGGCTGGTAACCAGAAGATGAAAACATTACCACCTGTTTATTTCAAACAATTTTATCAGTGCCCATTTCACATTACAGTTGCATTTAAACACACCAAAGAAGATAATGTCAAAATGCACTTTCCCCTTAAGGTTGTAGATGGGGCAAGTAGTCAAGCACTGACTGTACTTTTCTTTAAACACCAGTTGCATTCAAGTGAGCTGTAAGAGCATCCTTGGAGGAAACAGCACTGCCAGCCTCAGATGGGCACACTGCTCATGGGTGCCTCAGTTTCTGAGCAAGATCTGATCTGCTTTGATCTTTGTGATTCCAGTTATAAAAGCAGGTTCCCTATCCAGAAGTCAGGAGCATTAATCATGAAACATTATTGTCCTCAGGCCAATCGTGCAGGTACCCAGCACCTTTGGAGTTTTGGCTGGGGCTTCCCAAGTGGAACAATACTATCAACTTGTTCTTCAGCCTAGCAACTATTAACTACACCATTACCTCCTTGTCAATATTCAGTCTTCCTCTATTCAAACACATTTCTCCCTTGCATCTAAAGCTTTGTGGCAACCAAGCTGCCAGCAAGGAAGGCACTGGGTTGCTACTTAACACAAAGTCAGGCAAGGTAACTGAAGGCAGTGCACAACACAGGGAATGTTCACACACATCCATCTAGTCCTGGGGACAAGTGGTGCAGGAGCCCAGCTCCCACTGCAGCACCCACCATCCATATGCTTTCCAGAGCGAGCAAGGTCTTTGAACACGGTCATATTAACACAGGCACTGCAGCTTGAGCTACTTGCTATTAGTCACTTCTGGTGCAAGTGAGACAGTAAGTTTCTTGGAGCTTTGTGGCTTCTGCTAGGCCAAAGGCAGTTTCAGACACACAGTGCATTACTGGAAGCACAGTCAGTGGCTTTTAAGCATCAACTCATTATCTAAACTCAGGATAGGAAAAAAATACCCTTGACATCACAAGGTTTAGAAGGTTGCAATGGAAAAAGAAGTGTGGTTCAGGAGGTTACATAAGCTGATAATGTCATGAAAATAGCCTCCTGTGCAAGAAAAATAGCCATATAATAATTAAGCTAACCTTTGGCTGCTATCATTTTAAGCACATTAGGTCAAATTGGAGCAATTTCTTTGAAAATAGCCTGCCAGATTTTTTTTCCAGAAACTAAGTAGTAGTCATTTCCTTACAAACAAATATCCCTGAAATGTGGTGTGCAGTTTTTAATAAAAAAACCCGAGCACAATCTTATCTCAAACAGCTGCAGGACAGGCCGAACTCAAGAAGGTCAGGATTTTTTCCACTAAGTCATGCTTTTTAATCGTCGAGGCAGCATGAAATGAGATGTTGCAACTGCACTTTCAATGGGCGTGGACAGTCAATGGAAAAAATACACAAAGGCAGATTTCCTCACATGTGACAAGCAGGGCAACACAGCAAGACAAGCATAGGGATTGAAGGAAAAAGGGTTTCAGATTAAGCCTGTTTGCACATCTGGGGAAGCTGGGTGGAAAAAGTTATCCCAACTGGCCTCCCCACTCACCCCAGAATAAGCTGTACTGCCAGACTTTTTTTAAAAAGATAAACAAGCACCGGCTTTCTGCTGTCCCACACCAGTAGTGCCATGGTGCATCTGTTGGTCCCATATGCCTAAACTGGTCACACTCCAGATTTATACAATGGGAAGAGAAAAACAAACTTGCAGCAAGGACCCCCCTGGGAATGCAGCAGCTTAGCTCTGACCTGTGAGATCAGCACCCAGTCAGGACAGCTGGCCTAGCAAAACCTACCTATAAGCTTTTCAGCTCACACTACCCAGGCCAGGCATGTGGGAGGAAGACTTTGCATCTTCTCACCACCCAAAGAGCAGAGCAGCAACAGATTAACTTCTCATTTACCAGAGGAAGCCACCTCGCACACAGCTGAAACAGATGCCTGCTTCTGGCTGATCTGGTCACTGGATGGGGGACAAGTGACAACAACCAACTGCTTGTGAAGACTACCTAAAAGCACATTTAGCAGCAATTCAGAGGTATCTTCCTCCCCCTCGCTTGCATGATACAGCACAAGGGGCTGCAACCGCTTCTGCCAGAGCCCCCTCTTCAGTAGCTGCACCCCAACTCCTGGCCCATGGAGGGTCACATCCAACACCTTTCAGAGCCCACAGAGGACATTAATATTGCTCCTTACACTACTCAACAGCTTCTTACTCACAGCAAGACGGATTCTCACAGGCCTCTCCAGATTATGTTTTGAAAACTGCTCTCCTCATGGGCTGATCCAGATCACACACAAATCAGCCAAACTCTTGCCTTGCAGCTGGAAAGGGCAGTGAAAAGCAGAACTTGAAAACTTGAAAAGATTTTAGAAAGATGTTTGCCTCCGTTTCGGATGATCTAGCTCTACTATCCTTGAATGAAGTCTTGGCAAAAAGAATGGAAAGTTTTCATTGCCCTGGGGAAGCTCATACCCTCTTAGCATTCACAGGGATGGATGGAGAAACACCAAAAGCAGGAGAGATGTCAGACAATTAAGAGGATTAGCTCAGCACTACCATAATCCAAGTGTCACTTGTAAATTCAAAACAACTTCCACATGTGTACTCCATACCAACACCCATAGTTAAAATGCTTGTCTTCCCTCCCATGGGGCTGGAAACTATTTCAATTACATTACACAGAGACTAAGGCAATAAGATCTTCCTAAATTGTTACTGTTTTGGGGAAAAGCTTTGCTTCATTGTGGTAACACTATGCAAGACTGGGAAGTCTGTATTGAGAGGCATGCCACTTCAGGTACAGGCTACACCCCTGATGTACACGCATCACTCATCCTCTCAGTACTAAAAAGCTAAGTTTTGTGCCTCTTCAACAGTATCAAGCCAATATTCTAAAACCCAAATCAGCATTTAAGTTCTTAAATAAAACTTCACTGCCATCAAGAAGCATTGCAAGCTCATTTCAGGAAATATTTAAATCATCTCTCAGTGCCCTCTTTGGAGGAATTTTCCAGCTATAAGGAACAGCACTAATACATACATTTACTCACACAGCAGTGATGACTTGAAACCCAGCTCCCTCTAGCATGCACACAGCAGCCCGTGACTCAGGTTTATGAGCTATAACAACTCCCCAGTTACAGACAGATTGCCCTATCTTGGGGGGCAGTGGCAAGGAAACTTCATATATCATTACAATTTTCCATCACAGTAACAAGGCATGAAATAGGGAGGAAAAAACATGCACCAAGATGTTCTGATTAGCTGCTGTCCTCAGTTTGTTTCAGTGGAACACTTTTTTGCATAGCATAGCTGCGAACACGATTACTTTTGGCTGTTAATTCCATATCCTGCTTCAGCCTTCATTTAAGGTCCCAGACCCTGGAATGCACACTGAGTCAGCCTGCTAATCTTGTCCAGTAACCACACATCGGATTTGAACAAGTTATCCCAAACTTGCTTGCTACCACCACCTTTTTGCAGGTCAGTCTCAAGACCTCCCACAGCAGCAAGCATCAGCTCTAATACAGGACTTCCCCTGCACAAATCAAGGCTGCACAGACACAAAGCACCTTACAAGAAAAAAAAGACAGTTACAGAGGAAGCTCAGCTTCCACCCTTTGCCGTCAGCCCCTGGGTCAGTAACATGTTGGTCCCCCAGTTTAGCTGGGAGATGCAGCGGATGCAGCTCAAACCCCTCAGCACCAAGTACCACAGCTCCTTGGGAAAGTGCTTCGCTGGGGCTGGTGAAGAGGTGCTGCCTTTCCTAAAAATGATTTCCCCAAGACCCAAGCTTTCACTATAGACAATGTATGGAGCATTAAGCCTATTTACCTAGATTCAGTCAGTCTGACATGATTCATAGATAGCTAAGACTGTGATTAACCTAGACAGATCCCAGCATGATGCGATCATGACTTAAAAGAGCTAAAGCTCCCCATGACAACCAAACCCCAGCTGATGGCGTGAGGCAATCTCAGCCTCCACAGACCGATCTCCTAAAAGGGGAGCCTAAAGTCCCACAAGACCCATAAGCCAGACAGACAGTCTGCAGCAAAGTAGCATGTTCAACCCAGGACACAGCATTTGTTCAAAATAAACACTTTGGGCATCAAAGTGTCTTCAGTTGTGCTCAGATCCTGCTCCACTTCCAAGAAGCAAGGCAGGATTCAGGTCAAGACACTGTTTTGACAACAGCTCCACAAAATGATTAATTCAGCCTCTGTTTCAGCAGCATCATTTGTGCTACTGAGAGATGGCATCAGAGGACAAGCTGGCAGAGTGCTGATGAGGCTCTTCAGAGAACTGGTATATCTAGGGGTTGGAAAATAGCAAACAGTACATTAGCTCCAACTGGCAGTGAAAAAAAGCCCAGCTCAGAGATTGCCAGGCAGGAAGCACATGAAACCCTCCATAGGCACATCTGTTTGTAGCAGGGGCATCTTGAGCCATCAGCTGCGTTTCAACGAGGTTTTTTGTTTAGTAAGTCCCATGGGAATTATGGGACATCTATTAAAGATCCAGAAATAGCTTTTCACTGCAGGCACAAGACCCAGCATGACATCATCTCTTCAGCTGCATCTTCTGTTTTGTCTATGCTACCCTGTTCTGAGATTCATGCCCTAATTTCACCATTCACTTCTGCACAGGCCCTTTCAATCTGTTGGCTGAACCACCTTCAGGGGGCTCAGAGTAGCTTTACATCACAAATACAGTAATAAAAGCTACTTTACATAGAAAGGTTTTGAAATTAGCACATTAGCTTACAAACATTGTGTATTTAACTGGAAAAAGACATTTCTACGCTGAGAAAGCACATTTTGCTAGTGAAACTCTACAAATTACTAAGCCTACACTGGCAACTCAGTTATCACTGATAAGACTTCTGCAGTCTGAGTTTTCACATCATTGTTTCAAGGGCAGTGATGGCCAGCCCACCAAGGCCAGGAAGCTTCCCACCTTCAGCTGATGTCTAGACAGACAAGACGATCCAGAGCATGAGCAGAGGCAAAGGGGTGGAGGCAGCATAAGGAAAAAGTCAACAAGGCAAGTTCCCTCCATAACCAGTGAGACAGACAGGAGCCCTGAAGTTCAGTGAACTCCATGGGACAGAGGAATCAGATTGCTGAAGTTTATACTCAGGGTATGAGTTTGTTTCCTCAGTTTACTTCTAAGTAAAGGCAAAACCACTTTCACAGAGTACAGCTAGTAGGACAAGTCTGTCTGTAGCAGATATGGATGTGCTTTACAGTTTCAGCAAAGCTGCTGTACCGTCTCCTGGTCCAGACAGTTTCATGTCTGCATACAGTGGCAGAAGCACCCCCCAGGCTCACAGCTATGACCCAGGCAGTCCCTGCTCCACACAGCCTGAAGAGGCACATTTTAAACCTCAATTTGAGGTCACCTCTGCAGCAAAATAAATCCAAGTTCTACTACTAGAACAAGAGAAACTTTCCAAACTAAAAGCTTGCCTCTCCTAGTTCCAGCTCCACATTGTTTTTGCCTCTCTCAGCCAGCCAAGGACTGTTACACTCACATCGTGAGTGCCCAACTCCACAGATGAGTGGAAGATGCTGTTGCATCTTAGAACAACAAGCCTCTGTGTAGGAGCAGTCACACTCCATTAGCCTAAGTTATCACACTACAGCCTTCAGACTAGCACACACTTTTCCATGTACTAAACTCTCCATCAGCAAAGTACCAAAGTCTGAGGTAGAACAAAGAGTTCATGGCGCAGCTTTCATCAGATTTGTCCTTGCTGTTCTAACCTGAGTTGTCAACCCTTTTAGGATGGTTTCAACTTACCTTGACAAACACTGTGACATTCTCAGCCTAGCAGACAGAGGAGAAATGCTGGTGCCTGCTCCTCAATCCTCTTTATACTAACCTGATTTAGAGGCAGACCTCATACACAGTCCACACACCACTAGTGACCCATCAGGATCTTCCATTTCAACACCTCAATCCTTGCTGTCATCAGTCTGGCTTACATCAAGGTGAAGTACTGGCAGGTAGTTCCCAGCTCTTGCATGCATTTGAAAAAAAGTCATTATGACTAGACCACTACAGAGAAGAGATCCAGAATGCGAAAGCCCTGCACAGATATGAGTCGCCAGCATTTATGACTCACACCTTCAGGTTTGGATGATCCACTCAAAACTGAACAGGCCTGTTCCTCAGTTGGCCCAAGCCAACTTATCAAGATCATTAGCACTTGGAGAAAAACCTCACTGAAGCAATCATTAGAAGAAGGGCACAGAGATTCTGCCTTTCAGTGGAAAATTCAGATAGGTTTGACCTGACTGGGTTAAGCCTCTTCATATGGTGACCCATAAAGACAAGTGAACATCCCATGCAGGTTAGTTTGATCGCTTCAGGTTTAATCACTCTCACTGCTGTACACTCCCTCTATAGGAGAGGAAAGAGAGGTCATATGCTTTCCACTAAACTCAAGCACTGAAGCACAGCTACTTCTACATACAATCAATAAACCAAGCAACTTGCACTATCCAGATCCAGAATTCTGACCCCAAAAAAAAGTAATGCATCCTCTTATTCTCCCCATGGGTTTGGCTTCTGCTGGAAGTCTCAGTCATGGCCCAAAGTTCACTTGATTTCATGCTTCAGTGCACTGTTACTGCCTTGTAGCTCATTTTTCAGACATAAATATGCAAACATACAACAGCACACCTCATTTGAATGCACACTTAGAGCAACTGCCTCTGCAGGTTGTGTAACATCTGCAAAGGAAGAGCCCTGCATCAGGATCTGCCGGTAAAGCTCATCCAATGCACAGACCAGATGCAAGTCATCTGCATGCACTCAGCGCCCGTCTTAAATCTCTTCAACAAGTCTCCTGGAAGAGTAGGAACACATGGATCTAGTAGGCTAAGATGAACAACTTGCCCTTTGATTAACTGTAAACTAGGAAACAAAAGTGATATTGAGACTAAAGGCTTAAGGCTCAAGCTCACTTCTAAGACCACCTCTTCACCCCAGTCATTGATCTAGAGGTTAATAGCTCATTACATTGTTCAGAGCTTTCAGAATGAATGCAGCTCCTGACTTCAGGTACTGATACCTCCAGTGACATTTCAAGGCTTATTTAGGCTGTCTCTGGCCTCACTGTATCTTTTAAGACTGTTAACCCTCTCAAATGGGCCCATCAGTCAGGAAAACCAAGAAATAGAAGAAAAAAAATGTAAGTGCCATATAAACAACTCCCTCCTGCTCTAGGCAGATCATTTGTATTCCACATTACAAAGAGATGTCGAGAGTCCTCTCAGACCGGTGAGTGGTACAAAACCCTTCCTAAACTGATCTCCCACTGAGTCCCCATGAACGCTGAATGAGTGGGGGCTCAATCACTTCAGAAACCACCAAGTCCTTGCCAATTCAGTCTGATACCAAGTGATATTTTAGACAACCTGCTCCTGCCAAGCAAGCATTCCAGTCTGTTGACTAGTTCTCGCTACAGCAAGATCTGCTATTAGGTCAGGCTATGGAAAGGTACATTAGACCGAGTCTGCAGTCCAGCCCAAGCAATTCCATAGGGGATTACTGCCCAGCAGCCAGCAAATCACTTACCTGGTATGACAGGCCGTCCTTGCGGGGGCTTAGCCCAATCTCATCCATAGCTGGGGTGTTCATCATCACTTCAGTCATTTCAGCTGATCTCAGATAATCAGGGCTAGAAACAAAAGACAGCATTCAAATCATCCGAGGGGCTCCGGGCAAGATTTAAGTAGCATGAGGAAAAGACAGCAAGCAGAAGAGGCTGTCGGCAGCCTATTTCTGGTCCCTTCCTTCCTGAACCCCTCTTGGAAGGAGGTGGGAAAAGCTCAATACCTCGTAAACCGGCGCTACATCCCCTGCCCCAGAGAACAACTCCCTGACTTTCTCCCCAAGAGCTGAGCTCAGGAGCAGCTCGGGAGGCTCCAGCAGCAGCGCTTCACTTTTAACTCCGCTTCCTCCCGCTCTGCCCCCTAAGGGGGGAAAGTAAAAAAGCACAGTAAATAAGTGCAAGCGCTGGTGTTTTTTGTGGCTTTTTTTAAAAAAAAAAAAAAAAAGCTGGTGTGCTTTAGCTCCTGCTGACTTATTTTACAACCTCAGGGACTTCCACACCAGCGGAGCACACGGCGCCAATTCCAGCCCTGCTTTTACAGTCTTAATGGCATTTCCAGCTCGAGAAAGTGAATTCCCACAGCTCGCCGTTCCTCTATTGCGGCTCACCCCGCACCGCCGCTACCAGCCTCTGCTCCCCCTCTCTCGGAAAGTCCCGTCGCGGGGCTGCGGGGCTTCGCGCCGCCGCGCCACCCCGCGTCCTCCCGGGGACCCGCTGGGGGCGGCTGAAACCCCCGCGGACACGCGGGGGCTCCGCTTCAAGCCCCCCACGGCCGCAGCAGCAGCCTGCTGGGGCAGAGCCCCCTCCCGCCCACGGGCCGCGATCCCCCCACGCGGGAAGCGCCCACTCACCAGGGCAGGGGACACAGCACAGACATGAAGTCCCGGCGGAGGCTGCCCCGCGCCCTCGGGGGTGGGGGTGTGGCGGGAGGGGCACCCAGGCGCACGGCGCTGCCCCGCGAGCAGAGCGGCTGAAGCTGCCCCGGGGAGC